ACAGAAAATGGACTTAAGTAGCACCAAATGGAATCACTATGAACGAAATTGACTGCATTTTAACTAACAAGATTGCTACAATAAAAGGTGTCAGTGTAATAAATAAATTTCAAACAGGCAGCGATCATAGACTAATCACAGCAAAAATTATTCTAGATCTAAAACTGGAAAGAATAAAATTAATCACAAAACCAAGAGTTACCGGTATAAATATTAGCAATCTAAAAGAAAACTCAGATCACTACCAAAGGAGAATTGATGAAAGATAACATGACCAAATCGACAGTTCTTAAAAAATGGAAATCATCCTTGATAGTGCCAATAAATCGGAGGCCCGCAACAACAAAATCAACATAGTAAACTGTCTGATGAAACTAAAATATTGCTAAAACAAAGAAGGGAAATAAAAGTACGTAGAAACATACAGAGAATACAATAAACTGAACTTTGTAAGACAATAAGGAAAAGTATTAAGAAAGACATAAGAAAATACCATAAAGGATTGGTAGACAATGCAATCGAAAACAAGAAAAACTATAAAAAAACAAGAAAAGCATTAATCATAGGATAGAAGCAAATCGTTGCTCTAACAAGCGAGAACACTAGAATTACAGACAGAAATGAAATAATACAACTCGTGACTAAATTCTACAGCGAACTACACAAAGCCCCTGACACACTTGAAGAAGTAATCAGTAACCAAGAAAATGTACCAGAATTCCTTCCGGAAGAAGTAGACTCAACCATTACAAAAATGAAAAGCGGTAAAACAGCTGGAATAGATGGTATAACAGTGGAATTGCTTAAATACGCTGGCAATAAAACCTGGAAAATCTTAGCGGGCATATTTACGAACTGCCTAAGATCGAGATGCATACCAGATCACTGGAATACAGCAAACATAATTCTCATTCATAAGAAAGGGAGCAAAAAGGATATCAAACACTACAGACCTATAAGTCTACTACCAATCGTATATAAGATATTCACAAATATTAACAACAGAAAACAAACACATTAGATGCTGCACAGCCGAGAGAACAAGCTGGCTTCAGAAGTAAATTCAGTACCATGGATCATATTCATACATTTCAAAAACTAATGAGTAAAGCTAAAGAATATAAATTACCGCTGGTATTAATCTTAATAGATTTCGATAATGCTTTCGATTCTACGGGCCATAACAACTACATGTTGGAACAAGCAGTTATTTGGCAAATAAAATACCAATTTATTAAAATTCTTTTATGTTAAGTTTTTTTAATTGTAAATATAGAATTAACAACATTTTTTATGATATATGGAATTATTTTTATAGTTTAATTATGTAATTTTTGTTGATTACTATTTAATTAGTTGTTTGATAACCAAAACATGCTGACAACTAATTGTTGGAACAAGAGAATTTTAACATATTAAAATAAATATTAATAATTTGTAATGTCGCCCTAAGATTGAAAACAGCCTGAACTCTATTAGGGATTGTATGAACTAGGCCTTCACAGAATTCAGGAGTGAAACTAGCTCATATTTCTTGTAATTTAGCACGTAGTTGTGGCAAAGTACGCTGACGGTTATTTCTTAGGCGTTGTTTCATTTTGTGTCAAAGTGCCTCTATTGGATTAAGATTCGGGCTACTAGAATGATGTGACAAAACTTTAATGTCATGTTATGCCAACCATATTTGGTAGATTTAGCCATATGGCAGAAGGCGCCGTCCTGTTGAAAGATAAAATCTCCGAATGGATATAACTATGCCGCATTTGGTAGAGGCCACTATTCAAGGATATATTGATACTTATCTGCGTTTACTATGACCTCAATAAAATATAATGTCCCTAACTCTTTTGCCGACACACAACCCCACCATGATGCCCTGTGAAAACTTTACAGTTCCTTAAAGGAAATCCTTATCGAATGCTTCTTGAATTACACTTTTTGCCGAATCACACGCTTTCGATAATCTCCCACACAGACATCAAATTTGCTTTCGTCGCTATAGATAACTTTGTCCCTGTTATGTTTGGTCCACGAAAGTTTTGATTTAGCCCAAATGTAACGATTAGTTTTTTGAGTTTCTGTCAGCAATGGTTTTTCTTTGGCCTACTCGAATAAATGAAAAAACAGAAAATTTATATTGCAAAGAAGAACCTATCAAACATACTTTATAAAAACTAAGACCGCTTTTGTGGATATATTTGCAACGGAATTCTCTGGAAACATTCTTCTCAGTTTCTCTATTCCTTCTAATGGTTACTTCTCGTACTGTACTTCTTCTTCTCGACTTGCATATTCGAATTAAATGCACTCCTTTGAGAAATAGCTTTTGGAGGGCCTGAGCTTTTTCTGCAAACATCAATACTGGCAGTTTCACCATATTTATTAATTATATTAAACACCGTAGTTGTTGCTAGTCAATTTACTGGAACTTTCAGGCATTGTTTTCCCTTCATGGTGCTGAGGAATAATAATTTCTCGAACTTTTGGATCAGTAGGGTTTTCACGTTCCAGTATTATATTTTACTCGTAATAAAACTGACAGTTATCTTTATTCAGGTTCAAATGAGCCATGGCAATTATTTTTAACAACGCACTACCTACTCGTATGTTTAATTTCAATGCCTTCTTTGTGTCAGGCTGATAAAATTTAAGAATCGTGAGGAAAAGCAAAAAATGTTCCAACATTTAGTTGTCAGCGGTTTTCGATTATCAAACAATTAATTACATAGTATTCAATATAAAATATATAATTAAGCCGCAAGAATAATTCCATACATCATAAAAAAGTTGTTAATTTCATATTTACAATTTAAAAAAAAATTAAATAAAAGAATTTCCGTAAATTGGCATTATATTCGCAAAATAACTGCTTGTTCCACCTGCTGGAACTGCTTACAACAAGTAACAGCTTGTATAGTTGTTAGGGCTCGTCTATATATCAAGGCAGTAATAGAAGCTTTGAGCAACCAAGGCATTGACAAACCGTATATAGAAACTTTAGTAAATATATACAGATAAGCAAAAGCAAAGGTAAAAATTTATAAAAACACTCGAGAATTTTCCATTACTAGAGGCGTCCGACAAGGAGAAGCAATATTACCAAAGCTTTTCACTGCAACTCTAGAAAATATATTCAGCAAAATAAACTGGCACAACAAAGAAATATCCATTGATCAAAAATACCTTAGCCATCTAAGATTTGCAGACGATATCGTTCTGATTGCTAATAATCCTGTAGAACTACAAGAACTTATAAGCAACCTAAATGCAGCTAATAATGAAGTTGGCCTAAAAATGAACTTTAAAATGAACAACAACCATGTACAACAAGCTAGTGGATGTCCAAGATGTAATAAAAAACAATACTGCACTTGAGACAGTAGACGAGTATGTATACCTGGGACAATTAATATATAAATCAACAGAAAAATGAAACTAGCTTGAACATCTTTTGGTAGAAATTCACTTGTATTTTTAAATCGAAGATGCCAATCCACTTGAAGAAAAAAACATTCGATCAGTGTATACAACCAATCATGAAATACGGATGCGAAACTTGGACACTAAAGTATTCAAGAGGCGTCAAGAGACCAAAAATACGTCCAAATTTAAGATGGGACTATGACATAAGGAAACAAGCCGGTATAACAAGGCACAGAGGAGTGAATTTTAGACAATCTTGGGCAGATATGAAGAATTAATATGTAAGGGAGAATAATTGGTAGAATATGCTGATAATGATGATATATATATATATATATATATATATATATATATATATATATATATATATATATATATATATATATATAGATGTAATCGTTCAAACAGCGTAGCACAAACACAACATCTTGAGTGACAGACTGAAAATATTAAAAAAATATGTGTTTGTGTTTTAATATTTTTAGTCTGTCACTCAAGATGTTGTGTTTGTGCTACGCTGTTTGAACGATTACATGTGTAAGTTCTTTTATGTTATTTTATTTTTTTATTCTATCAATAAATAATTTTTTATTGCGCTCTTGAAAAAGCCATAAACCAAATGGCGAAATATTGAGTTTACGAGAAAAAGATCGTTTTATTTTCTGACCAAGAAGCCTGATAATATACATTTATTATATATATATATATATATATATATATATATATATATATATATATATATATATACAACACAGTTTATTTTATTAGAGCTGCAATCAGAAGTTTGGCCGGGATGTTAAAGAAATACTCTTTTGACTTTTTGTCTAGCTTTCGGAATTGTTTTATTCCTTTCTCAAAACACTGTAACAAGAAAACTGTGTAAATATTTACAAAATATCACAATTCGTCAGTGCAACTTACTAGTCGTTGAGATTATTGATAAAAAGCTTTGACACTCAACATTAATAACACACATATTTATAAAATATAAAATAATGGACAAAATACATTCTAAAACTTTTAAAATTTAGGTCAGCATAGTAAACACACCATTAAAAGATGTTATAAACTAAGTTTTACTATCGTGACCTAAATTTTAAAAATTTTAGAATGCATTTTGTCCATTATTGTATATTTTATAAATATGTGTGTTATTAATGTTGAGTGTCAAAGCTTTATATAAATAATCTCAACGACTAGTAAGTTGTACTGACAATTTGTGATATATTGTAAATATTTATACATTGTTCTAATTACAGTGTCTTGAAAAAGGAATAAAACAATTCCGAAAGCTAGACCAAAAGTCAAAAGAGTTCATAGTTCTAAAGGTTCTATAACATCCCGGCCAAACTTCTGACTGCAGCCCTAATAAACTTTGTTATTTGTATATATATATATATATATATATATACATAAATATATATATATATATATACATAAATATTTATATATATATATATATATATATATATATATATATATATATATATATATATGAACATTTCCTATGTTGATCTTTTAATTGTATTGATTTTTAAGTAGGTTTTAAGTATTTTTTTAACTTTATTGTATTATAGATGTTTCCTGATGTACAGTCAGCTACAACGATAGAATCTGTAAAAATAGACAAAGAGATAACAGAGAAGAAAGAAACAGAATATCATGAAAATCATAAGCAGACTCAACCATTATCCGACTCAGAAAGTGATGATGACGAAGAGGACGTTCGAGAAATGGAGGGCAGAACCATGACCGCCAAGGGATATATGGTAAATATCTTAAGTTACATAACATAAGATTACAAGTTACTATTATTATTTTGAATTATGTTAAAAATATTTTATTATGGAAAAAATATTCAATCCTAAAACTGAAAAACTAAAACTTATACTTTAAGAATCTGCTTACCAATTTAAATGAGTATATTCATAAAACACATGCACATTCATACAAACGCATTTTTTTTAATAATAATTATGTATTGTAATTTGTTGCATTGAGTAGATTAATTTTCTCATCCAAGATGCATAAAAAACAATAAGACGTAATAATAGGGACCTATCGAAAAAAATCGTAGTTTAAGAAGACCACTTAGTTCTACGTGTCTGTAGAAGTCTACTCACTATCCTGAATGATGTAAGATTTATACTTTGGTATTTTAAAAATATCAAGTTTAGTATGGCCTATTTTTTTAACGAATATTTCTTGAAAATTTGGGTTGTTCAAAACTGTCGTTCAAAACAGCCATTGAATCCGTCATTTCGAAAAGGACGTAAGTCCAGTGATTAAAAGTTTCGTAAGGAGGGGCATAAGTCAAGGACTCGTGCCATTTTTATAGCCGAGCCGTTTGAAGATGTTCCCTTTTAACAGAAAACGTGTAAAACGCTTCAAGAAATAAAATGGCACCAAAAAGTGATATTTAAAAACAGTTTGACTTATGCCCTTTTCAACATGACGGCTTTAATTATTAACAAATAGTACTTTTATATAGATGTAAAAGTAAAGAGCTAGTTCAAAATAGTGTCAAGAAGTATTAAGTACATTTCAAAAGAGGTGTTATTGTACATATATTAAAAATACTATAAAAAAAGCGTAACGATGAGTTAGTTAATGCTAAAGATAAAAAAGTAATAGTTCAGATTGATTGCAAAATATGAAACAACCATTAGTAGAATTGTTTAAAGTTACAGAATACAGAACACAAAAGAATGAAGTCCTCATGTAAGAAATTCTTAGGAGTAACAAAAAACTTAAAACACAAAAAAGCAACGAGCTCAGACAAAATATCAAACGAACTCGTCAATTAATACAATGAAAAATCTACGAACCAATAACAAAAATTTAGAAAGAAGAAACAATGGCCGAAAAATGGAAAGCAGGATAAATATTACTTATTATTATTATTCAGCTGTTATAAGATATTAGATTTACTTATCAGACATCCTCTCGTAAAATATATTAAAACAAAAAACAAAAGATTACTATCATAGTGAGGGTTTAGAGCAGAAACAACAAGAATAGACGCTATAAAAGTCATTTGTGAAATAATATAAACATAATATTAACATATCATTTTCTTATATTTCGAGCAAACATTTGTTTTATATTATAATAAGTGCAGACATTATAAAAGACCTGAAAAATTAAGGCATTGAAATCGATCAAGCTAACGAAAATTACAACGAACGGATCGACGGCTGCGATCGTAACCTACATAATTTTCGGAAAAAGTATATGTTGAAAATATGCGTAGAAGCATTCATAACGCACGTTGTATCAAGACATGGAGTTAGTTAAAGTTATATTAATAATCAGGCGGAATGGTCGAAAGACATAATAGAACTGTTTGTCAATACCTTACAATGTTTATCGCTGATAGTCAAAAATATTGTGATATTTTAATTCCTCTATTCCTGTTAACCTATAGAAGTTCCGAAAATAAGAGAACTTATTATTCTCCATCGCTGATGGTCACCGGAAGAAAAATGAAACTTCCTCAAGATCTTATTTTCGGAAAATTGCCTCCTTGCAAAGAAGACAGTTTAAAGTGATAAAACCAAGACCAAGCTCGACATATATGCTACTAATACAACTTTCGAAAGAAGTGACCTAGTATGGTTATGCAATCCCACACGCAAGAAAGGACTTTATCCGAAACTTCAACGAAACTGGAAAGGCTCATACACCGTCCTGCAAAAAATAAACAATCCAATATACCACATCTAGCTAGAAGTAAACCCAAGGTAGTTTATATCGAGAGATTGCTCCATGTCATGAAACTGATCCTCTCTGTTGGTTTCAATTGATTCCTGATAGTACAGTTATTCGAGGTGAATAACGATAATGGAGGGGGCAGTGTTACGAAAGATTTATGCCACATAAAAAAGTTCCTTGACGAAAAAGAAGAAGTCGTTCGAGAACATTCAAGATAATATCGAAAATTCAAAAAATGTATACTGAAATACAGTTAGAAGACTCTGAGAACTCTAGAACAACTAACACATCCACGGAAGAAGCTACAGCTTCATCCGTGTTCTATCTTTCCTCGCTCAGCTCTACCTCGCTCGAATCAGCTCTACCTTTCCTCGCTAGAAGGGGGATTGAAAATAAATATATCTAAAACCCAGATGATGACAAATCTTGTAGTTAGCGAAGATATATGCGTAGGAACAAGATCCATAGACCAGGTAATGGCCTATAAATACCTAGGTCATGAGAACCGCGTAGGAAAAGATAACCAAAACGTTGAGCTTCTCCGTCGTATAAGACTGACTTGGACAGTCTTTGGCAAGCTGAACCATATTTTCAAATCGTCTGATATACCAATATGTCTTAAAAGAAAAACCTTTAGTCAGTACGTTTTGCCAGTGTTGACTTACGGTGCGGAAACGTTGACCATAACAAGGAGAACAGTTCAAAAGATCCGTGTGGGTCAAAGAGCGATGGAGCGTGCTTTGTTGGGCGTTTCACTACGAGACAATATCCCAAATCGTCAGCTACGACAAAGAACAAGAGTGGCTGATGCAGTAGAGAGAGTAGCAACACTGAAATGGAACTGAGCAGATCACGTGGCTCGAATGACAGATAATATATGGACAAAGCGGATACTGGAATGGAGACCAAGAGATGATGCCTACCGAAGCAGAGATCGTCCACCAACACGTTGGACTGCATTGACACTCAACATTAATAACACACATATAAAATATAAAATATAAAATAATGGACAAAATACATTCTAAAATTTTTAAAATTTAGGTGAAGATAGTAAAACTTAGTTTATGACATCTTTTACTGGTGTGTTTTAGCTCTGATACATAGAGAACAGAAAGTAAAATCCCTATTATTAAAATGTAATTAGATGTTTTTAAGATTATATTTCTTTTCAAGAAATACTAGATACCCATCTTGGGTAATTTTCATCGAGTTAGAATCTATGAAGAGGGCATCACGTGACTAAAAACGACCTCGCTTCGGCCATATTATTAATATTGTTTTGAAACTTTTGACAGATCGTATATGTGTGTTTACATTTGTTGTTTTTCGAATATTTTCAGGTTTATAATACTTTTATAGAAACTGTAACATATTGTGATAGTGCATAATAATGGTTTCTTGTTCTCGACGTAGTTGCAGTAGCAGAAGCAATGTTAATAAAAAATCTTCAGAAATATCGTTCCACAGGTTAGTATACAAATATGTAAACAAAGTAATGGCCCGTACTGCAGAGAATAAATTAATAGTATTTGACTGTATTAATTTATCTTTATGTATAATATATCGTGTTTTTAGTGTTTACCGCGAGATAAATAAATTATAGTTTATTAAAAATGTATTGCACTTTTTTAGATTATGAATAAATCTTCTGAATAACTAGTCATATTTGTATAGTAGTTTTGATATTATTGAGTCTGGCCCTGATATCACCGCCATATTGGTATTATCGTTAGCCACGCCTACCTACGCCGTTTTTAATACATACGTTAATATGCTCATAGCTTCTCAATAGATTCTAACTCGATGGTAATTTTACTTTTTAATTTTTCAACCTGTCTTCATGGTATGCAACATGTTATGCATACAGATTATCGTAAGTAAGTAAAGAACATAATAAAGATAACTTGTTGTATGTAAGAATACATGTTATGAAGCAAAGTTATTATGTAATGGATATAAAAGTAAATTAAAATAAAAAATCAAAATTAAAAGTAAATTAAAATAAAAAATCAAAATTAATACTGAGTGTTCTCCTCTGCATTGTACTACACTTTGCTTGTTATTTTTTAACGACCTCATTAAATTTCTGACTAATTCCTGAGGAATCGTTTCACACTCTTCATCTAATGAAGTTTTTACCTGCGCCACTGTCGCTGGTGCTGAATTATGTACCCGAAACCTACGATTAAGTTTATCCCACAGACGCTCGATGGCATTTATAACCGGACTCAATGAAGGGCAATCTATTATTGTTATATTGGTGTTGGCCAGGTTATTTTTCGTAATCCGTGCTGTGTGACATCGAGCGTTATCAGGCATTAGCATAAAGCCGTCGCCGATGTAGCCAGTGTAAGAAACAACATGGTCTTAGAGAATATCCGTAATGAAACGATCTGCACTTAAACCCCTCCAAGACCACCACCGGGCACGAACAAAAGCTCTGATTTTCCTTCTAAAGATATACTACCTCAAAACATACACGAACCACCTCCATACCTCACTGTTTCGACCCTGCAGCACTGGACAAATCGTTCTCCGAGCCTTCGATAGACGCGTCGTCTTCTGTCATTATTATACAAACACAGTCGACTCTCACCAGAGAATAAAACTCCATTAACCAAGGTGACAATTGACATGTTCTTGGGCAAACCGAAGTCGATCCTGTTTCCAACGTGCTTTCAATTTGGGCCCTGTGTAAGCTCCTCTGGAAATTAAAGTGGCAGGCTTAAGTCTTCTCCACACTATCCACTGAGTGACGATGACACCTCGTACATTTCTCAAGGATTTTTGAAGCTAAACTCCTCTCGCGTGCAAATTCCGCAAGGTACTTAGGATGATTATCTGCATCTGTATCCTTTGCTGCCAATGTTGCTCGTCCAGTTAAGCCTTTTGAACTGGTACGCTATGTACGGAAAAACACGCCTAAAAAGGTCGGCCCAGCAAATTAATAATAAATTTACTTAAGAATTAAACTGAGAAGGTAAAATGATAATTGTAAACGCTAGATGCATAAACAACTTTGTAGACTTTTCGAAGTGGGAAGGCTTATTGT